GTGTTGGTATCTGGTTAGGTGCTTCTCCACAATCACCTGGTACCCACCATCGGAGCTCAAACCATGTCAACTCTTCACAAGCCATTATTACTGCTCCCTCCACCCTCCCGTCCAGATGAGGCAACTGAAGCTTTAGGACAGCAAGTGACCACCGGGACACTATACTGGAGTCTGTGTCTGGCTGATGCCATAGATACAAAAGCTATTCTTGCCCAGTGAGAGATTATCCAATAGAAACAGTTCTAGGCACATAACTTTTATCTGCAGCTCAGGAATGGGGAAGATAGAATAGGCTTCAGAGGTAACAGAGAGGCTCATTTAGTTTGTTTTTGCCCTCTAAGTAAGTATGTTCATTCACACACTCCACAGGTGCCAGCCATGAATTCCTGGTCATAAGGCTTTTCTGGTGTGAGCTGAAGGACAAACCCAGTGGTAGGAAAGGCAGAGCACAGTGTGGGAAGTGGGAAAGGACAGGTCCAAAGTCCAGGGTCCCAGGAGCTCTGAGGTCCCCATGATCAGAAATGCAGCCAGGGCCCAGAGCTCAGAGCCCTGAGCCCCAGAAGAAGTAGAATTGGGGAATAAAGGAGGGGTCCCTCTCTGTCTCAAGTACATTTAACATAAAGCTGTGGTCCAAAGTCTCCAAGGCAAAAAGTAGTATAAGACACACATATGCGTATGAGCATACACATGTACATACAAGCACACACATATACACACATGCGCACACACAGATAGCAGGCATGTCCAAGTGTCAAAGAGACACAGGAGCCAACTAAGAAAGCTCCCAATGGCCCAAACTGGAATTGTTTCAGCAACAATAACAACAACAAATAATAAAGTAGCATTGGATTGCAATCCAATGTATGAAATAAATATGCATGAATCCATGCTGGTATAAATGGCTGAATAAATGCTATAAATAAATAAATGATTGAGGAGGGACAGCTCTCCCTTGCAAAAATACAAATAATTGATGCACCTTGTCCCCCTGCAAGGAAGTGGTGCATCATTCTCCCCCCCACACACACACACACAAACACTGCTTGAGCAGAGCTGGGCACTGCGCAACTTCCTCCCTGCCAGCTCCCATGGGGAGGCTGGGAGAAGAAGAGCCACCTTTTCTGTGGAGAAAGCCAGCCCACACTACCTGAGCCAGGTGATCTAGCGTGAAGGTGGCATCACATGGATTTAATGTATGCCATTGGCAGTCTTGGGCAAGATGCCAGCGGTGCCTGGCAGCTTTGGAACTGGGCCAGTTGTGCCTGTCCTCATAACTGAGGGAGGCCCTAGAGACACTGGCAGGGTCCTCAGCTGCTAGGAACCCAGAAGTGCAGGGTGTCCCGTCCCTTCACTGTGGCCCAGGTTGGAGGATCCTGCCAGTAACACAGTGTCCAGCAGATGGGACAGTGATCTATCTATAGGGACAGGGTTGGCAGTGGGTGGCAGCAGGTGTGACCTTCAGCGCAAAAGGGCAGTACTAACTAGAGGCGTCCCCAGGGATTAGTGGGGGCAATGGCACCGGGCAGCCTCAGAAGGCCCTGGGGCAGCCATGTCCGTCTGCCTCAGGACACCTCTGAGTGCTCAGTGGGCTGCAACCTCTGGCGTAGGGCTTCCAGGTCTGCTCCTGGGCCTCTAGTTCACAAGGCAGACTTGTTCTTGTGAAGCCTGTCCTTCAGCAAGCAAATGCTAGAAGATATAGAAGTTATCCCAATTAGTAGGGCTGGGAATGTGGCTTAGTGGAGGAGTGCTTGCCTTGCATGCATGAAGCTCTGGGTTTGATTTCTCAGCACTACATAACAGAAAAAGCCGGAAGTGGTGCTGTGGCTCAAGTGGTAGAGTGCTAGCCTTGAGTACAAAGAGGCTCAAGGATAGTACCCCGGCTCTGAGTTCAAGCTTCTGGACCGGAAAAAAAAAATTATTCCAATTAGTTACAGTTAACAATAAAAAGCTGAATGTGGTGGCTCTAATTTCAGTCCTTAGGAGGTTGAGGCAGGAGCTCTTGAGTTCAAGGTCAGCCTGGGCTACAGAGAAAGACGCTGTTTTTTTGTTTTGTTTTTTAATCATTAAGAACAAAAGAGCCAGCTGTAATGGTTCACGCCTCTGATCACCCAGGCTACTTAGAAGGTTAAAATAGAGAAGATTGCCAGTGAAGGCAAGCCTGGGCAAAAAGTTCACAAGGCCCCATCTCAACAGAATAAACCAGGGAGTGGTAGTGTGTGCCTGTCACACCCACTAGGGCAGGAAACATGAGGAGGAGTCCAGCATGGACAAGTGCAAAACCCTGATGCCAACCAAAAAAAGATTTCCTTGGAGCAGTGATTGTAGTAAACAGTGACATCCAATCTATTTCTAACCATGACAACCTGATTATGATTGTTTTTAATAAGCATCATCTAACATTTTTGTAATTAACTTTTTTTGGAATATTCTCAGATTTACAGAAAAAAATAGGAAGAATACTACAAAGCTTTGTCTGTAGACTTCATCCTATTTTCTTGCTTTTTTCACCCAACATTAAATTGAGATATATCTGTATTGATATTGATATACAGATCTAACTGTATCAATATTGGGTTCCATCAGTCTAGAAACTTCTCATGGTCTAATGTAACCATAGGTTTAGTGCTGGGAATTGCATCTGATCACATGGGCCTGTCAAATCCCTGGTCCTGCAAAGAAGGTATTTACCTAACCCTAATTTATTCCTAATGTTATGACCATCATTAGGTTTTCAGTGTTCTGCACCAGGCTGGGAAAATAGCTTAGTCCCTGCCTGGCTTAGGGGTGGGAGCCCAGCACTGCAGAAAAACCAATTTGTAGGTAAATGTTACAGTATAGACAGTAAATGCTGCCTCACCATGAGAAAGTAAACGTTGAGTTGCTGGAAGAAGGCAGAAGTAGATAGGAGATGTCCAGGAAAATTATCTCATCAGGAATTGAGTCAAAAGATATCAACTAGGCCGGGTGCAGGTGGCTCATATCTGTAATTCCAGCTACTCAGGAGGCTGAGATCTGAGAATTGCAGTTCAAAGCCAGCCCAGGCAGGAAAGTCTGAGAGAATCTTATCTCCAATAGCTCACCAAAAACCAGAAGTGGTGCTGTGGCTCAAGTGGTAGAGCACTCGTCTTGAAGAGCTCAGGGACAGTGCCCAGGCCCAGAGTTCAAGCCCCGAGACCAACAACAACTACAAAAAAGATATAAACTAGGAAATAGAGATGTGGCTCAAGCTGTAGAGTGTAAAGCTCAGGGACAGTGCTCAAACTCTGAGTTTAAGTCCCCATACCAGCACAAAAAAACCCAGGGTTGGAATTGTGGCTTAGTGATAGATTGCATGCCTAGCATGCATGAAGCCCTGGGTTCGATTCCTCAGTACCATATAAACAGAAAATGCTGGAAGTGATGCTGTGGCTCAAGTGGTTGAGTGCTAGCCTTGAGCAAAAGAAGTTCCAGGACAGGGCCCAGGCCCTGAGTTCAAGCCCCAAGACTGGCAAAACAAAAACAAAAGCAAAAAGCAAACAAACAAAAAGCTACAAGCTAAAGAAGAAATGGACGCTTAAGATTATTCAAAGTGAGTTGTGCCAACAGAAAAACTAGAAATATAGATTTTTTTTTTTAAAAGAGGTATTGGGAGGAGAGAGGAAGGAACAGTTAATAAAAAATCTCATCGAAGCTGGGCAATCCTAGCTACTCAGGATGCTGTGCTCTGAAGATCTTATTTCAAAGCCAGCCTGGGTACAAAAGCCCATTGGGACTCTAATCCAAAGCTGGAAGTAGAGCTGTGGTTCAAGTGGTAGAGAGCCAGCCTTGAGAAGAAAAGGCAGAGACTCAGTGCGAGGCCCTGAGTTCGAGCCCTGGTCCGGACACGCAAAACCACATTCCACAGACTCAGTGGATAGTGCTAGAACACTTTCAGCAGGTAATGGGAGTGCACTGGGTGCGTTTTATTCACAGGTAATCAGGCGGATTCACTTGACAGCAAAATGTAAAAAAGGAAAAAAAGGGAATTTTTCTCCAAGTTAAAGGTTTGCGAAATGAGAGGAAGTTTTCCAACTTGGCCTTCTCAGCTTTCCGACTGAGCCCGAACGTGCCTTTCCAGCTGCAGGAACTGTACGTGCGAGAAGAGCTGTGATTTAAAAAGAGGCAAGACCCTAGCTCGGATTCCGACATTCCCCTGGGCACTCAGGCACGTGCACTGGGGGACTCGGGAAGGGACTAGGCCTGGGGTCCTGGGCCTGGCCCCGCCCCGGCCCCGCCCCGGCTCCAGCGCGGGCCCCTCCTCCCGGGAGCCCTCGGCGGAGAGAGAGCGCCCCCTGCCGGAGAAAACGACGGCACCTCGGCAGAGACCCCGCCCCTCCCTCCCTCCCCCGCATCATGTGATGCCGGCCTCTTCTCAGTGTGGGGTGGAACCGGGGATGGGAAGGAGAGGGTGGGGAGGGCACCCCGGCGCCTTAGGTGAGAGGGGCTGGACCAGTTAGGCGGGTTGTTGGCCAGTGTAGGCCAGGCCTGGGCCCTTGGCTAGGTGTGTCTGTCATACATGGAGGGGTTGGGGAAGGGGCAGCTGGGCATGAAGAGCTGGGCCTTCTGTTCTGAGAGAATTCCAGCTCTTCCACCTTCTGTGTGTCCTTGGGGGCGGGGGGGCACCATTTGCCTTTCTGAATCTGCCAGCCTCAAGTGACATAATGGTGTTGGTAGGTCCATTCCATGAAAGCAAGTGCGAGTTGTCAGAGAGGGAACTAGCTCAGCCTGTGTGGGGGCGGGGACCCCGGACCGGCCCAATCCTTCCCGCTCTTGGGGCCACCTCCAAGGTGGTGGAGGGTCTACCTGCAGGGGAGGCCCAGCGTCTGGAGTGGCTGGCCCCAGGCTCTCCAGATGACCTCTCCTTCCCATCTCCACACAGATGCTGCTTTGGGTTCAGACAGGAGCACAGATCTGTCCCAGAAAGGGGATACAGGGGACTCCAGCACAGAGGACCCCACTCTCCAACCCCTCCCCACATGCAGTCTTTCCCATGAGGATGTGGCAGGAGCCAGCTTGGTGCCACGCCTGAAACCAGAAGTCCAGGTTGGAGCTCCAAGCAGGAAAGGAGTCCCCAGGAAGGAGGCAAATGGAGGTGAGGGCTGGGACGCTGGGGGAGCTGCTGGGGCTAGGCGGGGGCTCGTGGAGCTAGCTTTGAGGGGGAGCCAGGATTCCAGACCTGACCTCAAGCTGCCCACCTTGCCTGATCAAGGAAGTCCTTCAACTTCCAGGAGGTCCCCGGTCTCCCTGTGTGACTTCTTAGTTACCAGATGCCCCAGTAACCTTTGTAGCATGGCACCAGGTCTCCAACAAAAGACAGTGTTAGTAAGAGTGGAGAGGCAGGCAGGGATGGAAGGGATCAACTGTCAGCCTGGAGAGGTCCAAGATGAAGGTATGGGCTTTCCGGGGGACAGAGGAAGAAATTCTACACATAGTCAAGAGAAGAGCCAGCCCCTCTCATCAGGCCTGGCTCCTGAGAGGGCAAGAAAGAGAAGCAGGAAGTGTGGGGCCTCTTCCCAGGGTGAGGAGGAGGCTGGTAGCGTCTTATGGCTTGATGGGAGCCCTGGTGGGGACGGTCCGTCTGTAGGAGGACCCCCACAAACTGCTCACCTGGAGTCCCTGCGTGGCTCTCACAGTCCTTTCTCTAGCAACGACACTGGAGACCCAGAAGAGTGTGAATACTCACCAAATGCAGGGGACCAGGCCCAACTAGGCAGCACCCGTAGCTCTGATGGGTCCCCAGGGCCATGTGGAGGAGAGTTGTGCAGTCTAGCCACACAGGGTTCTCCTCAGAGGCCTGCCTTGGGCCTGGCAGGACCAGGACCCGCTTCTACAGAGCAGCTGGAAGTACAGCTCATGGTGGGCAAGGAAGACCAGGAGGGGTCAGAGGCCCAGGCCAGGCCAGTGTGCAGGGAGACTACCGCCACTGCTGCCAGCTCGTCTGAGCCCTGGAGTGGCCTCAGCTCCTCCCTGGAGGCTGCCACCAGCAAAGCCTGCACAGGCCTAGTCATCAGGCAGAGAAGATCAAAGTGCACTGAGAAGCTAAGAATGAATACAGAATCCTGCACCCAAGATCGAGTCACAGTCCACATCAGCCAGGATAGCTCAGAAGAAGCTAGCCCAGGAGGCTGTCCCACATGGGTAAGTTGAGTCTGAAAGGTTGGGGAAGGGAGGGCCAAGCTACCTCCCTCAAGGCTGTTTGGTACTTCATAGATCTAATTTAGATAGCTCATAATGAACATTATATCTCTCACATCTGTTTGTTTTTTGGGACAGGATTTCTTTCTCCCTTAGCCTCTTCAGTGCTGGGATTATAGGCATGCACCATTATATGTGACATTTATTTTATATAAACAGAAGCCCCTAAGTCAGGAAAGAGAAAAATAAACTCTTTACTGAATTCCTATGAAGGGTCCTCGTCTTTTGAAGTCAGCAAGTCTTGGGTTAAAATTTCGCCTCTGCCTGTTTCCTAGCTAAGCAATTTCACAGTGTGTTTTTGTTTGTTTGTTTGTTTGTTTTCGTTTGTTTGAATTTAGGGTCTCATACTTTCTAGGCTTCTGCTCTACCACTTGAGCCACACCCTTTTCTTTAGTTTAGTTTTGAGACACGGATTCACATTTTTATCCAGGGCCAGCCTAAGACCATAATCCTCCTACCTCTGCCTCACAAATAGCTGAGATTATAAGTGTGTACTACTACACTCTAGATATTGACATTTTTTTTTGTTTTTTTGGGGGTCCGGTCGTGGGGCCTGAACTCTGGGCCTGGGCACTGTCCCTCAGCTCTTCAGCTCAAGGCTAGCACTCTACCACTTGAGCCACAGCACCACTTCCAGCTTTTTTCTTTTTGCTTATGTGGTGCTGAGGAATCGAACCCAGGGCCTCAGGCATGCAAGGCAAGGGCTCTACCACTGAGCCACCTTCCCAGCCCCTTGACATTTTTCTTAACCTAATTTTCCTCATCTTTATGAAGGAAATACTAATTCCATCTCAATGGTGGTATTTTGAGGATGGAGATTATGGTGTAAAATAACTTGCCTGGCATAAGGCACATAAAAGGTAAGTTGCTTAATGCATGTTACATTTGTTTTCCTTTGAGTGCTAACAATAGCCCTACAAGAGCAGAATTAGCCTTATGTTACCAGATGGGGAAACTGAGGCTCAGAGAGGTTAACAAACAACATTGGAGTCAGGGCCAGTCACATTCCTTCTGTTTACTACTTCCCTTTCTGGTGCTTTTTCACATATAATACTGATTTTACTACTTGCATTTGGCATGTATTTTACATCAAAGTTAGGAGATGACCTTTCTTATTTTTGTTGACTAATTTCCACATAGTTGAATGTTTTCACATTTATGACTGTGCATTATGTACTACATGGTTTTTTGAATATCGTCTCCACCTGGAGCTCAGAGAGATAGAGTAACAGATCCGAGATCACACAGCTGGAAAATGGCAGCCAGCACACAGAGCCAGGATGTCCTGGGAGCTTGCTGCGCTGCCTGCCTGAGCCCATCCACACTGTCAGTATGCAGCTCACTTCACGTGTGTTGAGTAGGTGCTGAGCCCTTTGTTTTCAACCTCTGCAGCAATCCTACAAGGTCGATGCTATTGATTAGACCCATTTCACTGAGGCTCTGGGGGTGAAATGGCCTGTCAAGGCCAAGAAGCCAACTAGTAGGACTGGTACAGGAGCTACAGAGCTAGTCACCTGTGTGTTTATCATTCACACCATCATTACATTGCAAAGCTGTTACATTGTAAGCATTATTCAACCACCCTCCCTCCTTTTTTGTGCATGTGTCTGTACTGGGCTTGAACTTAGGACCTCATGCTCTTACTTAGCTTTTTCACTCAAGGCTGGTGCTCTACCACCTGAGCCACACCTCTAGTCTGGCTTTTTGCTAGTTAATGGGAGGTAAGAGTCCCATAGACATTTCTGGCTTTGAGCTGTGAGCCTCAGATCTCAGCCTCCTGAGTAGTTAGGATTACAGGTGTGAGCCACTGGCAACTTGGCTAAAAAACTGTTCATCTTTAAAAACTATTATTCATTATAGGAAATAAGGAATAAATAATAAAGTATCTCCCGTGATGTCCCCATTCAGTGCTAACTTGATTGGTCATGTTGGGAGAGGTCCATGTGTCCAGTTTTCTCCCATGCCTGGGCATATTTTTTCTACCTAGAATTAGTGTCATAGGCATCGAGTTTTTTTTGTTTTGTTTTGGTCTGTTGTGAGGCTTGAACTCTGGGCTTAGGCGCTGTCCCTGCACTCTTCAGCTCAAGGCGAGCGCTCTACTGCTTGAGCCACAGCGCCACTTAAGGTTATCTAGTGGTTTATTGGAGATAAGAGTCTCACAGACTTTCTGCTCTGGCTGGCTTTGAACCGTAATCCTCAGATCTCAGCCTCCTGAGTAGCTAGGATTACAGGCGTGAGACACTGGCACCCTGCTAGGGTGGAGATGTTTAAAAACATTTCATTGGCTTTTTGGTGGTTAACTAAAGAGTCTCATGCACCTTCCTGCCCAAGCTGGCTTTGAACTGCGATCCTAAGATCTCAGCCTCCTGAGTAGCTAGGATTACAGGTGTGAGCCACCCCTCCCCCTTTTTTTTTTCTCATCCTGGGTCTTGAGCTCAGGGCCTGGGCTCTGTCCCTAGCCTCTCTGTAATTATGGCTAGTACTCTACCACTTGAGCCACAGTGCCACTTCCTGCTTTTTCTGTTTACGTGGTACTGAGGAATCGAATGCAGGGCTTCATGCATGTTAGGTAAGTACTTTCCCACTAAACCATATTCCAAGCACTTTAATGGCCTTATCTGGACTTAGTGACTGTTGGAGGCCAGTCCCCTTCCACAGCATCTGCCGGTGCCCCTTTTCCTGCATGAACAAATGCTGTTAGTCAGTCGGTTCCAGGACTTGTCCTTCGGTTTCTGAGCTTTCTAGTATTTGAAGGTCTTTCTCAGTTGGAACACATTGTCCTGCTGAATCCTCGCTTTTCCTGCATCATTGTGTCCTTGCTGTCCGTGGACGTAGTTGACACCTGACAGCCACAAGCCCTGGGCTGGGGCTTGCTTTCCTGCTTTCCTCTATCTACTGGAGCAGAGTTTAGATCAGGGCCCTGGGACCCCCAGGTGGGCATTCAGTAGTCCTGGCTTTGCCTGGTGACTTAGGCAAGAGCTCTCTACCCTTCCGTCATGATTCCCTCCTCTGGCACACGTGGGTGTTACAGTGCTTACCTCCAGGCCAGTGGGCTGACACAGATTTGCTGTCTAGCACTATTCCACCACATTGCCTGTGACACGTCCTGCTCCTCCTAAGGCTGCTCTCCCCATTTCAGATCACTTATGGAGATCAGATGTGGTTTCCTCGCTCTCTAGCCTTTGGGATGTGGGGAGTGGGGCATGTGGGGAGCGGGGCAGTGGAGCTGGGCTCCCACCTGGCTTGACTAGAAGCAGCCCCGGGCTGCTCTGTCCTCCAGGCCCATCCTTGCTTCTGCCACACAGTCTTCTCACAGCTTCCCAAACCACCCGTTGCCATGGCAACTGGCGCCAGCTGCAGGGAGAAGAATTGAGGCTGGGATGCGACAGGGACAGATAGGCGGATGGTTGAAAACAAGGCTGTGAGGGGTGTGGGCAGGCGTGGGCACAGAGCCCAGCTGGTCCAGAGTGCCAGTACCTTCCCCTGGGGCACCCTGGATGGAAGCAAGGGCAGACAGATGGGTTCAAGGTCAGCCTGTGCCTCTTAGTCCTGGGCGGCCTGAAATGGAGCCATCATTCTGAATCTTGGAAGCAGACACTGGGCCTGGTGGGAGAGGTGGGCTGGGCTGTGTTCTTCTGGCTAGAGATGGAAGGTGTCAGGATGCCCTTCTTCTGAGATCCTAGCTGTGGACAGGGAGGTTAGGAGCTACCTGTGGGTAGGATAGGAGGGCACACAAGGAGAGAAGTTCTGCCAGGGCATCCGGCCCTGCTCTGTCTGCCTGCCACAGCTTCACTGGCCCAACCACACCCCCAGGCACAAGGTACCCTGTTAGGTGGTATGCTTCGGGGGAGCTTTTGAAGTTGAAGGGTGACCTGTGATGAGCTCTCTGGGGATGTGGCTCTGTGGTACAGCACTTGCCTAGCATGTACAAGGTCCTGGGTTTGATCCCCAGTACTGCTAGGAAGCAAAAACAAGAAGCAAACCAGCTCTTTTTACCATTTAGTTGTCACCAGAGCATGAATGATCAAGGTCAAACCCTCATTTCACTAATTAAGAAAGCTGACATTGCCAGGCCAGGCACTGGTGTCTCATGCCTGTAATCCCAGCTACACTGGAGGCTGAGGTCTGAGAAGTTCTGATCTAAGCCAGCTCAGGCAGAAAAATCTCTGAGACTCTTATTTCCAATTAACCAGCAAAAACCCCAAAACACCCAGAAGTGGAGGAATGGTAGAGTACCAGACTTGAACAGAAAAAAAATAAAGTGAGAGCACAAGACCCTGAGTTCACAAGCTCTGGTACCAGCATTTAAAAAAAAAAACCCAAAACAAACAAACATCTGGCATACAGAAGTTAATGACTCATTCAGGGTTCTTAGAGCCAGGATTTGAATTCAGGTCTGTATGACTTCCAGAGTCTGTGAGAAATACAGGTTCTAGTCCCAAGGACTGTGGATGCCAGAGGGAGGAGTAGGGCTGAGGAGTGGACAGGGAAGTGTTCAGAAGTCAGAAGAAGTACAAAAGGGCATACCAGAAAGAAGACGGTGCAGGTGTAAAGGCCCTGAGGTTTGCCCCTTGCCCCTGGGACCCTTATTTTGCTTTCTATCTCCATGAGTTTGACTTCTGAGTGTCTCAGATAAGCAAAACCATGTAGTAATTGTTCTTCTGTGACTATAGCACTTGGTGCAATACATCAGAATTATGTTCTCTTGCCAGTTGCTAGTGGCTCATGGCTATAATCCTAGCTACTCAAGAGACTGAGATCTTAGGATCGTTGTTTGATCTTGGTTTTGACTTTCTAGGCCAGGCAGGAAAGTCTGTGAGACTTATCTCAAATTAACCCTCAGAAAACAAGAAGTGGAACTGTGATTCAAAGTAGATCACTAGCCTTGAGCAAAAAGGGACAGTGCCCAGACCTTGAGTTCAAGCCCTATCATTGACAAAAAG